GGACTCTTTAAAATAAGTCTGTATATAATTTTACAAAAGTCTGTTTTTCCATAGATGCAAATTTTCTAAATTTCAGCACTTTATTTCATAGAGCATTCATTTATTTGGCTATAATTTATTCAACCCAATCCCAACAATGAGGCTCGAATGCTTGTTTATTTTTCGCCTATGAAGTATCAAATGAAAGCAACACGTTGACCAACAAGTCTTGTTTTTGCTACCTTTGACCTTAAAGTATAAATATTATATTTGCCCAAGTGAAACAACCACACAATATCCCCTTACATCTCCAGAATAATCTATCACTTCCCAGTTTACCCTCGTATATGAAAAATCAATCGGCGCTCCTACAGCGAAGCTTCGTGTATGTCGGGTGGCCTAGTCGTAGGCGAACAGCGTTTTAGAGCGTATTGGTCATTTAATTGTGTCTTCCTCTCTCACCACCTGTAATTTTGGTTGTCTCTTTGGTGCCGATAAGGAAGTGGAAGAGCATACGTTTTTGTTTTCGTGTCAGCTTTTTTTTATGAATTCATCAATATGGTTTTCTTGTATTGGAAAGAACATTATTAACGGTGCGATTTAGCAAATGTAATCGCAAGTTCACGCAGAAGAATTTTACGTAACTCAAACCAGTATTTTCCTCTCACCAGTTGAGCAACAGTCCGAAGCAAAGATTTGTGTAGGTTATGTGTGTTAGCAGCAGCACAATTTTTCAATATTATTTTTATGATCACCTGCTAATCATAAAAAGAAAGTCGCGGCGTTCCGACTGTTTTACCACACGTGTGTCCAACATTCATATATCAAACAGTTAATCTGATTTCACCTTAGATATTCGTACAAAGAAGAACTAAAAGTGCTCTCAAGTATATGCAATTAAAATTTAATTTTTGTTCACGATTACACAGCAGTTCCACGTCGGGCAGCTATGATTAGCTAGTGTTATTCCAGAAGGTGAGTCAATTCTATTTTTTCCACCTTGTTTATACATCCTTCATACATGTAGGTTTAACTCTGCTTTACTTATCAAATAATCAAATTAACTCGTCTCTGATTGTTTTTACGAAGTATTTGTTTGAATATAACAACGATACGCTATTCAAAATAAGCTCAAGCTTTACATATACATTGAGATGTATATGTTCTTAAGCTACATATGGATGAGCATTAGGTGAAATGACGCTTCTTATTTAAAGTAATTTATATTTAAAGTAGATTCTATGAAGAGTATAAGCCTTAGATCTCGGCTATTTATACTCGTTAGCCCGTTTCTACAAAGGCTGAAACCGCTCCGTTAGTTTTGTAGTGGGAACAAATATTTTTTAATAGCCAACGAAACCAAGCCTATTGCCTAAGGCCCTGATGACCTTTTAAGGTCGAAAGCGCTCGGTTGAACGCTATAATATATTTACCTAAAGCTTTTATTCCATGCGTGCCTGTATACAAAGACACAGACACACACACTAAAATGTTAGAATTTCCATTTCAAGTCATAAAACCAAACAAAACTGAATGTTTTGTATACTACCTATACATACATTGTCACACCTTTCAAAAACTACATATGTACTTAAACTTTCCTGGAAAAACTCTAAAACTTTCACGAAATTTCAAAAAAGCATATGCGTTTAGAGCGCCCATGGTTTATGGACAACTCGAATATAACTCGAAACGGTTTTTGAATTTTTTGGTAATTCTTCTCTTTAGCTTTGAGCTCATGTTGAAGCTGAAACTTCGATTTGCAGGGTTCCATAAAAACTGACTCAAATCGGAATTGCCTCCGAAATCTGTGATTCTAGCAGACTTTCAACTAAAGCGAAATTTACTTTTCGTTTTAGTTTAATTTTAATTTTCGTCACAGGATCAAAAACATCTTCAACATGAGCCCAAGATTTTGAAAATCGATTCAAGAGGAAAAAATGTATCACTGCAAAACAAAAAGTTTATTTTTTTGAGACAACTGCAAATAAACGAGATGGTTTTGCATTGTTGTATTTGCCACCCTCTAGGAACTTTATCTGAACCACATTTTTTTTACAAAAACACGCACTAACCGAAAAATAACGTTTCAACAAATCAAATAGCTCTCAGCGAAATTAATTTATTCAGTACCAAAATTAGTCGAAATACGACCGTGTAACGTCTATTTTGTTGAGCAGTTAAGAACAATAGCTTTTAAAGATAAAAAATTATCGAGACTCAGTGGGAGTTCGTTTTTTGCATAAAAAAAGCATTACACATTTTTTTTGCGTTGTTTGTGAACAGAACAAGATTAAAACCACCCGAAATTTTACGAATTTTCGGATCAGAAGGAACTGGCCATTTTTTCAGTAGCTCGGGCTCGTTGAATTCCTCACTTTTCTTAGATGGTATAAGATTAGATGCACTTTGAACCACAATTTACGAGGAAATAGATCAATGTTCGGTCACAATTTTTTGATCACAACATATTGATTATTATCGTTATTAACTATGAAAGCATGAGCTTTTTTAAATGACAATTTGAACACTCCGTATATAAGTTTCCGGTATATTTTTCGACAACCATGTATGCAGGTACACGGACTTTTCTTAAATATCGCAATTTTCAGCAGAAATTGCGGAAAAGTTGCGTGAAAATCTTCTAAGTAACTCCTCTAATAAGTATCTACTTCTTAACAAACGTTTGTGCAAATTTGACCTTTTTGTTCTACATCTTACCTATTATTTTATTATTAGCAGGTCTATTTCCGAATTGACTCGTCAATCAGTCACATCATCTCCGATTCGGCTTGTACCATTAACGGCTATTCAGGACTTCCTCTCAATTATACCTGTTTCAAAATTAAACCTTTCCGGCCTTTCTGTTAATTAAGATCAAAGTTTCTGGGTATTTTTAAACCAAGAATGTGGAATTTACTTATTTACATAGAAACGAGTGTCGTGGCTTTTTGCGATTCAGAGCTTTCATAGAAAAATTTTGTTTTGTTTTTAGTTCTATGTGATTTACTTGATTTCATGTATATGTTGTGGTTAATATTCAAAATTAATCTTAATATTACCCAGTTAATATCAAGAATAACATGTTTCATTGACATCAACCAGATAACGCCATCAATCGACGCCTTGTTAAAGACCAGACAGTTTTTGTTCCTTAGTCAACTGATATTCGCGTAAGAAGTATAGCGGTAGAAAGTGATACTTTAGTCACAAAATATCTAATAATTCATTCAACATTAACAGGGAAAAAGAGCTGAAATCGGCTTTAACCAGGTAATGTTAATTTTCTTGAATTTCTTACATTAGCATTATATTTGTGTTAAACTCGAGGTTAATCGGTGTTCGTTGAAACATTTAGTTTGCTAAAACTTGTCATCAATGCGTTACTCCGATTTTGCTTGGTTATTTGCTTTACTAACTGCATTTCTTTCGTCAAACATTGATTAGCGTATAGGTCACGCCGATTCAGCTTTTTATTTTGTTACTATCGACTACTAGAAATTTATCTCAATAACAAAAGGCCAATGTAAAAACATCAATTAACCAAGCTCTAAAGTTCGATATTTAATGGGTTTATAATTGTGGTTATCAAAATGTCTATTGCCACATGTTTATGTGAAAGTACGGAATTGATACATGACTAACGGATAAAATGAATGTATTGTATGTAATTGTAGCAATATTTAACAAAAATGCAATTTAATAAAATTGCACCCTACGTTTTAATCGAACGATGTCTCAAAAGGGAAGATTCAACGCCTAAAAATTGAATGAAGATATAATTTTCTAAATGCTTAAACACAAATGCCAATTCAAATGCAAACCTTTTTTTATCGATGGAAACTGGTGGGATATTTGGGCTTTTAGGCCGTCGGGAAAACATTTTATCCTGGCGTTTCGCAACCGTGAGAGATTTGTATCCTCAGAGGTGTGTTGCCGCAAAGTTTACTCTGGATTGATGCTGAAGCTTTGTGAGAAAAACCTAAGGGGATACAAACCACTACTCACCCGTGAGTGCGAAATGTTAGGAAAACATTGTTTCCATTGCGGGATAAGGGCCCGAGAAACTCAGTAGATTCAACCACTAACCGCGAAAGCCTCTTTTGATGTTTATTCCATTGTCGATGCATCTCATGGGTACTTTTTCCGGTCTTCGTGTTTCCAATTAGTAAAAAAATGGCTTTCCTTATCAAGGAGTTATTATTAAACTACTTATTCTTTTGTGGATCTAGACAGTAAAAATTATTGACGTTTATCTATGACTATTCAGTTTTATATTCGAAAAACCTGGACTTGAAGGTCCGAAAAGTCGGAACAATAATAGACTATACAGGTTCTAAATTGGAAAGTAGGAACACCTGATAATAACAATATGCCCAGACGTATAAACTGATCAGTACATGTTTTTTTCCCGTCAAAAAGTCTAACTAAAGCACCCGCATGTGATGACGAAGACTTTTGAAATTGATCCAAAACGTGTTTATTAATAGTTGTTAATTATGTGGGTCTTGATTTAGTATTTACTTCGCACTGTTTTCTAGTCGGAACACCGTCCAAAAGCCATCATTCCCGTGTTGTGGTTTAATGTGCTTCGAACGAAAACAATACAATCTAAATACATTTGTCGAATATTGTTGGTTTTTCTGCCTTTATTTCTTGGTGCGAAGTAAACATATCTTTATGTACATTCGTGTTCACCTAGTGAGTATTTTGAGAATATTTATAAAACTAGTTGTGAGCATTGAAAATGCATGAAACATGTTAAAGTATTGACTATTACTACTTAATTTACAGTTAAATGTGTGCATGCTTTGCTTTGTTACACTGAAATAATATGTAAGACTCGGGCAAATCGAATTTCCAATGCATTGTTTGGGTCACTTTATTACTTTAAAACTATTCTGTGTGCTAATTTTTATTGCGTTTCTGGTTACTACTATCGACTTTTTAATCATAAATCAGTCGCTGTTTTGCAACTAATTTTACAGTTTACTTTTATATGAACGTTTCTATTTTTCCGATTTAGTATAAATAAATATGTACATTACAGATGATACAGAAAATGTGTTAGTTGCGAAAGTAAATGCATCATCAATTTATTGCTTGTTTGCAGATTTCATTTTATGTTCGTTGAAATTAAATGGATAACATTTCACTCTTATCAGCTTATCAGTAACTCGATGTCTTGTAATAGGTACACGTTGTAGAACAAGAGGAAAACGACGTCAGATACATTTAGTAACTTTGTAATTAATTAAAGCGCACGAGCCGGAAATACTGCAAATGTTCTTATTTTAGACCCTGTTTGTCAAAATCATACACAAATGCAAATTAAATCAGCGACAGTAATATTGAAATAAAATTAAAATCAGTACTAAAAAAAATACTGAAAATGTCTATGAAATTAAACACATGTATCTGCAATGTTATGCTAAGAATAGCCTGGTTTATGACTATATTTCAGGTTCAATCAAACGTATTCGTTTTCAAATTAAGCTGTTAAAAGTATTCAGAATTAAAGACTCAATTTTATAGAAGCACATAGTTTTGTCATTCATTTTGCTTGTTTCAGTTGAAACTTTAACTATGAAGATACTCTAGTCGGTATTATTTATATCCCACCTTGAACACATACGTAAACTTTCTCTAAAATTTGTTTTCGGTTATATCAGTTACTAAGTATTCAAGGAAAGTAGGTATAACAAGCATAAGCTAATAATATTTACACCCTGTATGTATGTAACCTACTATGTAAATGATTACGAAGTGTTCCTGATGTGTGTACATCTTTGCTGATGTACTTATCGCTCATATTGTTTACCATCAAAGTAAAAAAGCACAAAGCAAACACATAGTAATAACAGTTCTGATTGTGTTGATGATTGCAAGCTTTGAATCGAACACTGATATTACGAGATAAGAACCCATAATCTTCTTTCCCACAGGCAGGAGTTTGGCACTTGAAAACTCACTAAACTAATAAAAACCGATGGGATTATATGTGTATAATTTGAAACAATCTCCTTTTATGGATAATATGGTTAATCAAGTGTTTACTTAAGTTTAAGATTGTAATATCATTAGAGCAACAGCATCTTTAAGAAATTATTACACTATAATATTAAATTTATATCAGCTGGTGTTAGTCATGGGATAACGATATGAAGTATTTTTGCGTTCCGGAGTTGAATCGATATAAAGTGCACAATTATTTGTATGCAAATTTTAAGAAAACATGCTATTTTCAGCATCTACGAACTTGAGAATTGAGTAGTAATTTCTATTGAAAACCCACAAATCCTCCATCAATGGTCAAGGTTTCCAGTCAAGGCTGTCGGGTAATCAGTCTAATTCAGTCCGATTAAGATGGTTACTTGCAAATCGAACAATTTATTATTTAATACGACTTACTGACGCATCTACTAGACTAGCTCATTTAAATGTGGGTTTCCCGCTTTGGTTGAAGCCAACCATTTTTGCTTAGTGAGTACTAAAAAATACGAGTTGTATTTCAATTTACTCATCCTCGATTTGCACGTGCAACTAGGTGGACATCTGAGTTCATTGAAATGTACATATTTTTCTTGTTGTCCAATATAAACATGTTTTTCAATCTTCGCGTTTAAAAGGAATTGAGAAGAATCAAAATTTGAATAAACAAGTACTCTGAGAAGTGTTTTATATTTGTATTTTTAACATTTAATTGTTTAGTCTGAAGTCAAATGAATATGTAGAGCGAAGTTTTTAATTTTTAGTGCTTTGTTTGTCTTCATTTAAACTTTGCGCTCAGAATAATTCCATTAAATAGTGCACACAACGATGATAATTCAATTCATCATGTCCCCTTCTGTTTCCATCAACAAATTGGCTCGTTACGTCCGTGTTTCGTCGTCGAGCAGCTTATCTAATAACAAACCATAACTTGTTTTTAGTTTAGTTCGTCACTTGAACAGCAGCAACAATAATGATTTTTTGTTATAATAATAATAAAAAATGATTTCGGACGATAGCAGGCTTTAATCATAAAATCTCAGTTCCTCGTATGTGTTTGTGCATGTACAACCGAAACAGTACCTCGTTTGGAATTTCTAAATAAGAAACAACACGTTTATCACCGTTTGTTTCACGATTAATTAGTCGGTTGTGTAGTAATGTTTTTGATGCAAACGCGTCAAGTTGCATGGTTACTGGAAAAATCGTTGGAATCGTCGAGTATTGTGTGGAATAGTTTAAGGAAAATCAGTTAAGACAAGTGCAGATTGCGAAAGCGATTTTAATTTTACGGTAAGGACTCAGCACGCAATCCCTAATATGATTATAAATTTATCAGTATCAAACCGCAAAAGTTCCGCAAATATATTGGCCTTGAATTGAAGTTGTTATGTGAAACCATTTTTTTGTTATTATGCAGTTGAATTATTTGTTCTATGCCTTAAGTAGTTTAATATAAACATCCAGCATTTGTACAAGAAATATATAAATGATTTGTTTGTTACAAGAAGCAAGTTTTTTTACGACATCCTGAAAGTCCGAAAAACTTCTGAGCTTTGTTTTGGTTCAATATTTGCTTCAGCCAACTTAATGAAGCTTTTTACATAACACCAAACATTCCAATTATTTCCTGTACTGATATTGATATTCTGGTCACAAAGGTCACTAACATCTTGATCCATTGCAAAAATATCGGGATTGTTTTTCCGTGTTATACCTACTTCTGCAGCCTTGATGTTGAATTACTATTGATATGAGCTGCGACTGGTTAATTAGCAGATTTTATTTTCCAATCGTTATTCGACATGCTGATATTACAGATGTATAGTTTTGCGTCGTGTTCCTGATATAATAACAATGTTGTTTTTTAATAGTTTTGTTGTTTTGCTTATCAGTAGTCAGTATACTTTACTCGACAAGGTTTTTAGAAACAATAGCCGTTTCATTAGGTATATGAGTTCAATGCGCAATCAACAGTCTTATTTTTTCTTGCTTCAATTATTTGTTCCATTTTTTAAGTGCTAGTTGAGTCATGTGTGCTAAATTACAGTAGCGGATGTTTTGGTTCGGTTCTAATTATATTTCGTCAATTTTAACAAACTGAAGGATTAAGTACAACATAGCTACTAATTTCGAAATGTAAAAGTTTCAATAAAACTAAATTTTTTTGCCAAATTGATATGCATTGTTTTAGATGGTATATCTACAAAATTACTCAGAAAAGTGATTCTTTCTGTAAACTATTTCAGAAGTAGGTATTTTTATGAGAAGATCAATGTTCGATTTTTTCAATAATTCTTAGAAAGTACACCTTCTAGGAAACTTGATTTGTATGTTTCTTGTTTTCTACACATGCTTGCATTTTAATACGTCGGTCTGATAACTAAACTATAAAATTATTATCCTATAGTAACTAATACCTAAGCAAAACAACAATGAATAATTGTTATTATGACTCAATAGGAAATATTAATCTTGTAATTGTTACACATATTAGTTCCATGACTAACACGAACTAAACAGCCATTTTCAAGGAAATTTAAATATTCTTGAAGTGACATTCAATTGAATATTTCATAGCGTATTTTTTTCACTTCATTCCATTATGCTCTTTCTTAAAGTAGTCTTTACCTACTAATTCATTCCGTTTTATGTTTCCAATATTTCCATGGTTTCCATTACTACCTTAGAAAATGAACAAGTTTTCTTCATATAAACCTTATATTTATCGTATTCACTTAGGCTTTGATGTATTCAAAATAACCTTTTTTTCTCGAGAATAAAAAACTCCGCTAATTTCATTCAATAAAATGCTTCAACAATTGCGCCACCGAAAGAAATTATTTCACAAAGATGTACGATATAAAGTAAAAATGCCACCCAGATAGGAACGTTTCAATTTCATTCAAATTTCGAGCTTCGTTTCTTCTTACGCGAGAAAAATGTTATAATTAAAAAACTGACAACTCAGATGTTTATGCAATTCCAACGTAGGTATTTGTGAACATTTGCAATGATATTTTGAAAGTTTTTTCCGCCTCTGTACACGATTCCCTAGCAGGACAACTATCCTACTGGGATCTTCAATTATGTTTAATTTTTAATGCATCTAAGGTTCAACTAAAGCATTGTCGTCAGGTTATTGCCGCTTTTCCAAGACGTGAATAAATAAATGCCAGCTTGCAGTTTCCAACTATTATGTCCAGCAATGGTAGGAATTAACATTTTAAAACAAATTTAAATGTTCTTGAACTGAAATTCAATTGAATATTTCATAGCGTAGTTTTCTTCTTTTGTTCATTCCTTTATGCTCTTTCCTAAATATTCTTTAACTACTAATGGATTCCGTTTTATGTTCCGATATTTTGATCGTTTGCATTATTACACCACAAAAAAAGCAAGTAAATTTGTTTTAAAATGTTAACTCCTACCATGGGCTGGACATAATAGTTGGAAACTGCAAGCTGGCATTCAGGTCTTGGAAAAGCGGCAATAACCTGACGACAATGCTTTAATTGAGCCTTATATGCATTAAAAATTAAAGCTAATTGAAGATATCAGTAGGACAGTTGTTCTGCTAGGGAATCGTGTACAGAGGCGGACATTGTCGACAAAACTTTCAAAATACCATTGCAAATATTCACAAATACCTTAGAATTGCACATCTGAGTTTGTCAGTTGTTTGCTTATAAAAATTTTCGCACGTAAGGAGAAACGAAACTCGAAATGTGAATGAACATGAAACGTTCCTATTTGGTTGCATTTTTACTTTAATATCGTAAATCTCTATAAAATGATTTCTTCCGGTGGTGCAAATGTTGAAGCATTTTATTGAACGAAATTTTGCAAACCGTTTGGATTTCGTATGATTCCATATAATTTTATTTGAGAAGATTTTTTTATTCTCGAGAAAATAATACGATAAAAGTAAGGTTTATATGAAGGAAATCTGAATGTATTGCAGATCAATGTACGCACATTTAACATTTCTGTACACCTTTGTTAAGCTCCCATTTTCATTTCCCATTATCGTTATCTGCCCAATTTGTTTTTGTTCTATGCTTTCTTCGATTTAATTTACATTAAATTGTGTTTGGTTCTGGTTTAAATACCTAACTTACCATTTTTTGATTCAAGCTTATAAAATGTTCTTAGTTTAAGTGTATGTTTTAATTTGAAACGTAACTAGAACTTTCAAATTAGAAACTTTCGTTGAGCAGAGGAATTGGAAAAGTTGCCTTCTTTTACATGCGTATCTTCAAATATTTTCTACTGTTTTCCATGGTGCTCTTCATAATTGATTCCTGAACAAAAATGAGCTTTTACTATAGTCACTGAATCATCTTTTATATGAGTGGATGCTTGCATTCTACGGCCATGGTCAATTAACTTATTAAATTGAGTAAAATATCCGTCTTTGCAGAATGGTCTTGGAGCCCAAGTTTGTCGATTATGGCAGCATTCATCCTACCCCTGACGGCCACACTCATCAGGTTCATCACGGAGTAAGTGGGCCCAGATCTGCACTATTATCGCCCCTGGACGACGAAGACGTTACCGCTAACGCGTCCGCCGGACCCAAAATGACCCAAGGTGAGTTTAAATCATTGTTAGAATTCGTTTTTGCCTAAGGTTAAGTTAAAGCTTGTGTGCAAATCAAATAAACTAATTGCTATTTAATTGAGATTTTCAAATTCGCCATCTATTCATGGGAATGAAGTGGATTTTTGCATTCAAAAGGTCATTGAAAATACTACTAATGATTACTTCCAAACAGTTATGGAATGACTGTAATAATTTTTATATTGTCTCCCTTCTGATTTCATGGTATACCTAATTAATAATGCTCGAATTTCACTTTTTTATTCTATAGATAATGTAATTGTATAGTAACAATAATTATCTATGAGTTTGACAGGAAATTGTTTTCATGAACCTCTGGAACAATTATGGAAATACCTCATTTCCTAATAACTGCGATGTCTATCGGCATTCATCATGGAAACTGTTCGATAATATCATTATTTTTATTTTTATTACCAGCAAATTGAGCTCACATTTTCTATTCAATAACCGTTTTTGTACTGCTTCGAATGATTGCTATATTGTGCAATTTCACTAATGGCTATCAAATAGTGTGTTTCGAGGTACGTTTTGAATAAAATAAAAAAAATTCGGTTTTGTAGGTAAGATACTTTTTATATTCGATTGAGTACCTATGTCTAATAGATCCATTGAATCAAAGAGTGGGCAAGATTCTCATGATTTCCAGGCTTTAAGTAGACTAAACATTGCGATATAAGTTTATTAAATTGCGAAATTTAAAGAATTCTGATCATGCAAAGTTTATTGAATAACTACATTATCAAGCATCGCTTAATTAAATCAGAATACCTATACTTATTTATGGAAACTTAACAGTTTTGGATGTTTGACACGTTTCTAAACATGCATTTTCAATATATGTATACTTTTGTTATCAAAGAAATGAAG